ATATGTATGTGTGTGTGTGTGTGTGTGTGTGTGTGTTTTCTGGAACCTACAGAGACCAATCGTCCTGTTTTCCCCGGGACAGACACATTTTTTAAGCATATCCCAGCCGTCCCGCATTTACTCAAAAAATGAAATAAAAAAAAAAAAAAACCTAAGTTGTCCCGTTTTATAAAATCCTATGGATTAACTCGAGAACATAACAGAAACTCATATCTATATATGTAGACATTTTAAAATTTCATGGTTAAAAGGTAGGGAGCGGCATGGTCTCGAGGTGTGGTGTCCACCTCGAGTGCTAAAAGTTCTGGATTCAGTTCTCGCTAAGGGCTGGGATTTTTCACGTGGACTTGGACTTCTCGTAATTCCCCCTGGTCTCTGGGTAGTGAGATCGGACACCCGTGTGCATTGTTGAGCAGGTATAACAATCCCTTGGCAGTTGGAAACCGAAAGGAGTAGCCTAACGGCTCTGCCCGGGCAAAATTTTGAGTTAAATCTACCCAAAGTATTTCAAGATCCTCGACGGTGCTACAGAGTCTGTGCACTGTGATGAGCTTCTTAGGACTCAGACTTGAGTTAGAAGAAGAAAGGAGCACACACGTGCCATGATGTTGATCCGTTGTTCAAAACCTCAAAACATAGTTAAAATGTTTTATTAGCATTTTCATTGTTTCGTTTCGTTTATTTCTTGGTGGTCTAGGTTTTAATACCGTTGTCTAGCTAGTAATGAACCCTTCCACCCCGGTCATCCCTAAAGATTGTTAAATTGACTTGCTTGGGATGTCTTGCTTTCAGGTCAAAATCTTATGGTCACACTAGTCCTACAGGGCTCTCAGAAATATCAAGCTAGATTTGGCAATGCTTGAATCAAGTCAAGAAATAAATAGGAGATACACAATTACTGTTCAAAATAGATGCAATGCAGTATAGATGAACCATGGCAAATGCTAAAACTGTCATTATAACATACATCAAAAGATATGGAGAATCAAATCACAACATGCTAACCGCCATCCATTTTAAAGGTAAACAGAGGAGAAATAGAAGCATTCAGTCACGTTGGTGAAATATTGATAAAGGATTACCGGTCTACGTTGCAGGCACGTTGCTGCAACACGTTGTAGGAAGTGAGCACGATAGCGCTGGGACAAACGGACGTGGCTACTACACGTAGGAGATAAAACCGATAGCCAGCGTATTACAAGTACTAAACTAATGATTGTACAAGTCGCGAACTGTACTGTCAACTTTGTTTAGTAGAATATCAAGAGTAAAGGTTGATTTTACAGAATAAAAAATAATCTATGAAATTTTTCGGGTTCGATCCCAGCTGCGTGTGATTTGGCAGCAGACCATGTATACCGTTGATTTCGACCGTTTTGTGAGCAATGACGCACTACCGAAAGTAAAATTACCAAGTGAAATCAGAAGCAGACGAACAGTGCTGGCGTTTGTTCTGCAACACCCTGTAAAGGAAACGCAATTAGGGTTTAATTGTCTAAATTAGAGATTAAAAGAGTTTAAAAATAATATTTCTTGCCACGTAGGGGCCGGAGTGGTTATAGCAGCTAAAAACTTATAGGTCTTGGGTTCGAATTTGCATAGTGTCGGTTTTCTGTTCTTCTTCAGAAATGACATTTGCTTTCGAGTTATGCCAGTCTAAAATGGATACGAGGTAAAAAGCCATGAAGTCAAGGCGGCCATTAAATACAGATGGCTCTATACAAATATGAGTCTAGCACCATATACCTAATGCATAATTGGTGTGTAAAGGGTATTTTACTTCCCGTTACTTGACTGTGTCTTGTTATGTGGCGATTATCACAGTTATCAGATATGTGTTTGGCTTCTACAGGAAGTCGCAAACCAACCAGCATTTGTTGGCCGCCATTTGCTTCTATTGCTAACAACCAACAGAATCAGTTGAGATAGAAGATTTTTATGGCCTGGAGAGAATGAGGCATCTTAGTGTAACCAGAGGGTCTGGCCGGGCTCACTACACTTAGAGCAAAGATAAGACGAATATATAACCAGTTTGTGACTGGTATCATCAGTATTGGAACTCTGCGCTGGCTGCTGAAGATGAGGACGGATCATGCATAGGAATGCCAAGAGTGGTGTGATGCCAATTCTTGACTTAACTTAACTCAACTTGCTTCAATTGCTCTCTAATCAGTATCGTCATCACAATCATCACACTTTAGTATGTTATCAGTTCACAGGAAACTGGCTGCGCACCAGTGTATATCGGAATTGTAAAACTATATTTACAACCCCAAGCCACACATGGCATATATAATCTTGTTATTGGCTACATCAAAATCAGATTACTTTTGTACTGAAAATGGAAAAGAGATTAAGTCACGAAAAATTAAAAAAAAGCAACTGTACACTATAATACTTTTAAACAAAATGCCATACTTGCTACGTACCAGAAATTAAAAATTGTGACAAGCTTTAAATAATCACACACTATATGTTTTAGTCACGTATTTTATTACCTTCACGTCAAAAAATGCCAGCGGCAGCTCACGCAACATTCGAAAATTATTGATATAGATTGTAGTTAGCGATTACCCCCCGCCCCCTCCCTTTTTCCTCCAGGTAACAAATGTGAATGCAATCTTCAAACTCAAGATACTAGAATTCGATAGTCGGCAAGCCGCACAGATACCCAGTAAACAAGCAAAGCTAAAAACACTGCAGACAAAAAGCAATTTTCTTCTTCTTTGAGTAAGTTTCATTGTGTTTGTCCTTACTGATCTAGACCTCTTACTATTAGTGCACCCCCCACCCCCCCACCCACGTTGTTTACACAAATAAGGAAAAAAAAAAAACACTCCTCACTAACCCGAGTTTAGTAGATTAGACGTCTGGTCTTCCCCTATCAATACGAAATTCGCGAAGGGTCCTTATGCCAGTTAAACATATTTTTTCCCAAGTTTAATTGGCATCTACATAAGCCTCATCTCAGGCTAATGTTTAATATTAAAATACGCACCCACAGGTACATCTATACAATATTTGATAATGTATAAATAGGCATATTGGTCCTCGCTAGTGGTTTTGGTTTAGTGCCTTTTTTTTTTTAGAGTAGACTGATTCATTAGTTTCCAATAAAATTTATGAAAAAAAGCTCTCCAGTTGCTCATTTCAATGACACAAACAAAACATTGGGAATTTTATTGCATGGCGTATTTCAGTGTGTTTAAGTGTGCCTACTGATAGTGTGCAGACAAAAAGAGTATGTAATAAATTGCAAAGTTCCGTGATATTCACGTGGCTAATTGTAATTTGTGGCCTTGAGAGATGTACTAGGTGTAACTACATTCATTAGGATTTGCTTATTTATGTGAAAGTAATATATGCGATACATTGTATGTTGATACAACTGGGTGGCAATTCACCTGATCAGATACAGCCAGTTAATAATTTGAGCAGTGTTTTTAGGTCTGTTTTATTTATAAAAGAAAGGCGAAAACCTCAGGACCCCCCCCCCCCCCCCCACCCCCCATCTTTTAAATTATCTCAATGAAGTTGACTACTTAAACTAGTACAACAGTTTACATTATAAACGCAGTCAGTCTTGAACAGACATGTCTTAGCTCTTGCAGTCTAAATCATCGCCTAGTGTGGAGTAATTTAACCCTGGTTTCCCTGCATAGCATTATGCATTCTAATACTTTTACCATTTGGTCAGAACATATTAGAGACATTGGTCACTACAACTGTGCATATTGCCACTTTGAAAGTAAAGAATTGACACCAAGATTAAATAATCACTTTGTATCTCATGTGTCTAGTACTGACAGTATTAAAGACGTTTTCGTGGGTTTTAACGGCATATGCTACAGTGAAACAGCGGAAAAAAATTAATAAAAACTGTCACTTATACCTAATGGAAGCAGAACTAGAGGTCGACCACATAAGCATGGATAGACGGATTATCCGAGGCTGTAAATACCAGCATCTACGCAGCACATACAAATGCTAGCACCTCATACCTATTCAAAATCTGACGCTGACAAACAGAATAGGACTAGAGAAGAAGAAGAAAAAGAAGAAGAAGAAGAAGAAGAAGAAGAAGAAGAAGAAGAAGAAGAAGAAGAAGAAGAAGAAGAAGAAGAAAAAGAAGAAGAAGAAAAAGAAGAAGAAGAAGAAGAAGAAGAAGAAGAAGAAGAAGAAGAAGAAGAAGAAGAAGAAGAAGAAGAAGAAGATGAAGGAGAAGAAGAAAAAGAAAAAGAAGAAGAAGAAGAAGAAGAAGAAGAAGAAGAAGAAGAAGAAGAAGAAGAAGAAGAAGAAGAAGAAGAAGAAGAAGTAGAAGAAGAAGAAGAAGAAGAAGAAGAAGAAGAAGAAGAAGAAGAAGAAGAAGAAGAAGAAGAAGAAGAAGAAGAAGAAGAAGAAGAAGAAGAAGAAGAGGAAGAAAAAGAAAGAAGAAAAACCAGAAGAAGAACATAATAAGAAGAAGAAATATAGAAGAATCCCACTCGTTACGGATTTGAACCTGAGCCACACAGTCTCGTAAAAATGACTGCAAAAAAAAGTACAGAACTTAAACGAAAATAAAGAGAGAGAGAGGGAATTGATCCCCCGCCCTATATTTTATGGCCTAGAGCGTGTGAAGTCCTAACACTTCCCACGCAAAGACATTATGTTTTGGAACTATCTTTTCTGTACCTCCCAGAGCATTGTTTTCAGAGACTCGGATGTTTATTTAATAGAAAGTTAGCGAGAATAAACGAAGTGTTTTTGCAAAGGATCACAAATGGGTCGCACAAGCCGTTTTATGCACAGTCATTCCAAACAATTTAATATTTCAAATATTTTTAAAATTTTTTTTTTCTGTATAACATGTTATGTTATTAGGAATAGCACTTCCTCATCGACACATAATTTACAGTTAAACAATTCATGATGATTAATCAATAATAATATATTCTCACTTGCCACGAAAACACAGTTCAAAATCCACTCTCAAATATAATGTGTAATTACTTATTATTCTAATCCTCGTCTTCTTCAGATTCTTCAGGATCATCTTCACTGTCTTGATCCTCGGAGTTATTTTCTTCACGATCTCTTGCAGCGTCAGAATTGTCCTTATCGCCTTCGGTTTTAGAAGTAGCTTCATTTTCTTCAGATTCTTCAACTGCATCTGCATCCCCTGTGTTCTTCTCGTCATCAGCAGGCCGCCGTGTGTCGCCACGGTTTGTCTGATCTTCATCCTTAGTAACTCCCTCGCTGTCAATATTCCCGGAATCTTTTTGAATGTTACTATCTTTATCTTCCTCGCTGCCTTCATTTGTATCATTAGTTTCTTCTTCAGACAGTTCTTCTGTGGTCTTACCCTCACTTTGAGCGTTTTGCTCTTTTTGCTGTTCGTCTTGGGAAACCGATTTGCTTGCATTCTGTTCTTTTTCAGTTTCAGATTCGCCTTTATCATCAGTTTCGGATTTTTCCTTATCATCAGAAGTTTCGTCGGTTTCAAACTCTCCTTTATTATCCCCTGTTTCTTCAGTTTCAGACCTTGCCTTATCGTCTGCTATATCTTTATTATCAGACTGTTCATTATCATCTGCTGTTTCCTCATTTTCTCTCGTCTTTTTATCATCCACAGTTTCGCTAGTTTCTGTCTTTATTTTATCATCCCTAGTGCCAGGTTTTACCTCATCATCCTCATTTTCAGACTTTTCTTGATCATCTGCAGCATCTTCAGTATCAGGGTTTTCTTTAACATCTTCAGTTTGGTCAGTTTCAGTTGTTTCTTTGTCATCCGCAGCATCCTCAGTTTCAGATTTTACCTCTTTCTCATCACGGTCTTCTTCAGAAGTATCTTCAGCCACAGATTTGCTACCTTGCGTTTTGTCATCAGCAGCAGGGGCATCTTCAGGTTCATTGTCTTCAGGATCGTCTTCTACAACAACAACATCTGAATTCTCCTCTGTGTTTTCTACCTGCTTGTCCTCGCCTTGATACTTTTCTTCTTTAGCGTCATCTTTGGATGCTGTGCTGTCTTGACCGCTTGCTTTTTCGGATTCTTCACTGCTTGCAGAACTGTCAGGACTGGACTCATCTTTGCTTTCGGAATCCACTGGCTTTTCTGCTACATCGTCCTTATCAGGTATGTCAGAATCGTCGTTCTTTTTTGGAGCATCTGAGTTGTCTCGATCCTCAGTTCTTTCTTTGCCGGCTTTGCGATCAAGCGTTTCTTCGCTTTCTTCTTTAGCAGAACTATCTGCTCCTCCAGTAGATTGTGTGGTATCGTTTTTCTCACTGTCTTCAGCAGAACTCTCTGCAGCTTCGGATTTTTCATCAATGTCAGGGCTGGTTACGTTACTTTGGGTTTTGCTGATGACGTTGGTCTTAGGAAAGTCAACTGTGTATGTGAGGTTTTCACCACCGACTGGACAAGTAGTTACTAAGAGGTCCCCATAGTGTCGGACGATTGTTACGCCCTCATTCGCCAACACAAAAGACTGCGGAAAAATCAGATAATACAAGGTTGTCAGTGTTAACCTCACTAGCTCAAATGCAAGAAGTAATATTCTATTATTTCATAATATCAAATTTCGTTTTAACGTAAAGTTATATAACCAAATATTTAGGCATGCATGCTTTATCTGTATATTTATTTGTACAGAATGTTCTGCTTTTAAATCCTCTACCTCAGTTTTCTTCCAGTCACATAAAGAAAACTAAAGCAGTCAACCATCAGTCAACCAACCACAATTTTCTTCCAGTCATATAAAGAACTAAAGCAGTCAACCGTCAATCAACCAAGGCACAAGGTGCTGCAGGCGAAGTCATATCTCAGGGTAGCTGCAGACACAGGCCACCCTCTGCATGAAGTTCTGTGTGCAGTTAAGGGTCAGCGGCTGATAAGAGGGAGGTCATGGATGGCTCAGGCAGAAGACACAATCAGACAGGTTTGCATCCTTGAGAACATTAGGCGAGGAGAGGAGTGGGTCAAAGTGCCACCTGAGCAGTTAGACTTGTTTAGGGTCATAATCACGCTGAGCCGGGAATGCAGAGACTGGCCAGCATTTGCCACAGAGATGGAAATTCAGCACTTAATTCAAGATAATGATCGCTCAGAGGATTTGATCATTTACACAGACGGTTCAGTGTCAAGAGGCAAAAGAAGTGCTTGGGGCTTTTTAGCAAAAGTTAATGGTCGACGTTTGGTGCAGGAGAGCCTAGCATATGATACCACAACATCCAGATTAAGAATGGAGGTGGAGGCGGTCACTGCAGCTTTCCGCTGGCTAGAGAACACGACACACACACACACACACACACACACACACACACACACACACACACACACACATCGTAATTGTAACTGATTCAGAAAGCAAGCTGAGGAAGATCAGAGCAGGTATGCTTCGTGCAGAGTGGAATGCTTCGCTGTGGAGGACACGAGTGAGGAGTATTGTCTGGATTTTTTCACCGGGTCACGCCGGTGTGTTGGGAAATGAACAGGCGGACAGACTGGCTGGCTCTGCACAACATGGTGGAATACTGCTACATGATAGGGCAGACGTTGTTAGTGCTTTGTGGGAGAGCGAGTACAATTCGGAGGAGCAGATGGATCACCACAGTTTAGTGAGATTGATGCAGTTGGGGGTGACGAGAGGTTCTGGCAGAAAAACGAGGCTCAGAGGAAAGGCAAGACGGACCTTTAATCAGAAAGCTACTGGCACCATTAGTATCGGAACTCTTCGCAGGCTGCTGAAGATGGGGACGGAGCGCTTCTGGGAATGCCCCGAGTGCTGTTTGTGATCTTGTCCTGCCACTCATAGGCAAGTATTCTTCTTATGCATCGCATGTGAAAGCTAGTTAGCAGTCTCTCCTGGTGCAAATAGGTTGACCAAGTTTCGCTGCCCTAAAAGTGTGTTTGTTTTAGTCGTGAGCTTTCTGTTCTCATAAATTTATTTTTGTTCATTGTTCTGATGTTGAAGATTTGTTCTGTGCTTCTATTTTTCTGAAAACCCACCTCTTCTTCGGTTAATATTTCTTTAGATTTTGCTTTCAATCTGTTAAGCAGTATCTTAAGCATTATTTTGCTTGCGTAGTGATAAGACTAATAGTACTAAAATTGTTTCAGCTTTTTAGATTTCCTTTCTTTGGTAGTGATATCACCACCGATTGTGTCCATTCAGCAGGCCCTTCTGTGTGACCCCAATTCTCTGGCACACTTTGGTAAACACCTTAGTTACATGTTCTCCTCCGTATTTCAAAGGTTCAGCTGTGACATTATCCACACCTGGCGACTTTCCTTCTTTTAGTGAGCGTATCACCTTTTCAGCTTCTTCTCTCAATATTTGAGCATCGCCACTTTCTCTGTTTTTATATACGATGTTGTCTGGGGCTGTAGTAAGAGGCACTGCTTCTTTATAGAGATTTCAAAATACGAATACAAAAGGA